TTGCATAAATAATATAGAATCATAAAGAATATTTTAGCATTTTTATATATCTATGTTTAATAAAAAATTTTTACTTTGAAAATATTTCCTATATATAGATTTCATTGATTTTTTTCACACATATATTTGATTAACTTTTTAAGAGAGAAGGATTAACAAGAAAAAAAATTGTTCCTCATCCAACTAATAGCTTTTTTTTTTTTCATGTATTCCATCTTGAAAAGAATTTATCTAAGCTTAACATTAAATTTGTTACAACTACTTCCAAAACAACAAAAGACTTAATTAATACAAAACAAATTAATAATAAACTTGAAGGCGAAATTTACGCTATCATGTGTAATGATTGCCACATGGAATACATAGGAGAAATCTCGATGCAATTTAAATAAAAGATTATATGAACACAAAATAAGTATTTTACAAAACAACACACCAAATGCATTAGTTGTTCACTGTAATGAGTCTGGCCATTATTTTGATTTAAAATACTTTGCTTTTATTAAAAGAGAAAGCAATTTACTAAGACAAACATTCATAGAAACTGTTTTGATCGCTGGATCATCCACGGTAAATTTCGGTCCAGATTCTTAAAACATTCCATCTGTCTTAGCAGATCTTCAGTTATAACAGTGTCTGATATTTAATAATAAAAGTGATAAAATTAAAACCAAAGTATAAGGAGTCTGAATGGAATCAAACCTGACATATCTTAAAAAAATTAATTTAAGAAATTTCAGCGTTCCAACATATTCATCATTTTCTGTCGGTTCATAATAATAACCTTCACTTACGTTTTTATATACCCCACCAAATTATGTATAATTCCATTAACAAAAACATTACTTTAGTCCGATGAAGTCTTTCTAAAGTACGAAACGCGTTACATAAATATTTTTTCACTTTGTCATTCATTAGCCGAACGTTTTTTCGGATAAGAATTTATAGATCACATTCTCCCATTTTATCTTTATATATATATATATATATATATATATATATATATATATATATTTCTGAATTATATATGTATATATATATTTTTTCGAATTATATATATATATATATATATATATATATATATATATATATATATATATATATTCATTCTTATGTTTAACGTTCTTTTTTATAGATACAAGTATTTAAGTAAATGCTCTGTTTATAATAAACAGTATTTATAAACAGAGCATTTACTTAAATACTTGTATCTACAAAAAGAACGTTAAACATAAAATGTCTTTAATAAATATATTGTCGGACTTTGTCCATTTCTTAATATATATATATATATATATATATATATATATATATATATATATTCACTTTTTAAAATTTCCGAATTAGTTTTATGTAATCGGTCAATTTGCCAAAGTTCATATTTATTTTTATGATAAATTATTTTTATTCGAGAATTCTAGGGAAAGAAATAATATGAAATAAAAAGAAATATGAACTTTGGCAAATTTACCGATTTACCGATTACATAAAACTAATTCGAAAATTTTAAAAAGTGAATTATATATATATACATATATATATATTATTTACATTATTCGGAACTAGAACAGTTTACCTCAGTGAGCGAAATAAAGGGTTCCATTCGACAGTGCAACGACCTGAAGAAGGCCGGAGCGTACAACAGCCGAAACGTTGTAAAAAATATGGCGACAAAGATGAGGACAATAGTCCGAATAATGTACATAATACCTCATCTCATATATATATATATATATATATATATATATATATATATATATATATATATACGGTACGATGGTAAATTATTGCAAAACTTCTTGTAACACTAAATATGAACTGAAGGCACGCATTATGAAGAAATTGGAATTATAAACTCAGCGGTCAATGAATAATGAAATGTATAAATCCCTAAAGCTGATTCAGTTAAACTATTCTGATAAACATATTCTCTTTGCGTTGGGCTAAAGATAAGCGTAAATATTTTTCGTCCATTTATAAAAGGCTAATTGGAAGGATTGGCTTCTTATCACGAATTTATAAAAATGTGAAACTATTTTGCTAATATCTTCTTCGCCGATCCTTTAAACGATATTTAAACGTATTTAAGCCGAACTTCTTGCAGACATGACAGCTGGCTAATTTAAAATTTACGTTACTTGTAAAAGTGACAGTATTTGCTTTGTAGTGATCCAATGTGTTGATATGCGTCTGTGTGTGTGTCTGTGTGTGCGTGTGTGTGTGTGTGTGTGTGGATATATGTCTGTGTGTAGCTAATTTAAGAATATGTGCTACTAATTCTCTGCGTGATTTGAGTATACATGCGTGAGCAGACAATTCTTTTTAAAAGGTGTGTGTTTGCATGCAATGGTTTCTTTTGACGTTCTTTAATCATTACAGTAACATTTGAAATATTTTGGACCCACGAAAGACACAACAGGAAATGCCTGGACTTATTTTGTTGTAATTCAATCTTGCCATTTAATGTTCAGTCCTTTGTACTTCGTGTCTTTTCATTTCTTTTTTGCCTCTTTGTTTTGAAAATCAAGGGGATAAAGTTTCAGTAATCCTAAAGCTCGGCTAATAAGAAGAACTCGCATATCAATTCTAGCATCAGTCTCCACCCATTTCTTACCTTTTCCATTTATTAACATACTTTGCTTAATCTCCGTGTCTACGTTCTCACAGTCTTTTTATATATATAGTGCTTGTATGTGTCTACTGTGCGTATGCTATAATGCATATCTATCTATCTATCTATCTATCTATCTATCTATCTATCTATCTATCTATCTATCTATCTATCTATCCCTTTGACTAAGTGAAAGTTTAAACATCGCCATACTAGTTAATTTGAATAATCCTTAGCTGCTTATGTAGCCGGAACCTAGTGTATGAGCTCATATTAATATAGGGTAGGTTTTAAGGTCTGAGTTTCAAGTTAAGTGGTACATATTTGCGTCATAAATATCATTTTGCGTATGCCAGTCTGTCTTCGTTCAAATGACATGCAGATTCCGAAAACTAACCTGATAAATCTTTATTAAGCAAGTCATTTTGCTTGATTATGTCAATTCCGTTATTAAATCAGCGATAAAGACATTTGTAAAATATTGTTATTAATGCTGAGATGAAACACACACAACTATCCCTCACTCTATACATGTGTATGTGTGCATATATGTATACATATGTATATATTCGGTCGTTCAGATTGTCTAACTTCTAAAGAATTAAGAGATTTTTTTCAGAACAAAATTTGCTTTACTGTGAAGCTCTTCGGAGCCGAGCGGTTAATGCACGCGCGCGCGCACACACACACACACACATATACACACACTCATACGCACACGCACACACACACACATCTATATATAAATGAGCTACATGTAACCACATGTTCTATTATAATACTTTCTTTTCCCGTTTGGGGAAATCACTTCCAGTTTCATGTTTTCATGCCACCTACAATCTTCAAGAATTTAAATGCAATCTTCTGTTTTCCTGAAACATGTTCTTTTATTGTCCTTTCTTCTCACTAAAGTCTTCTCATTCTCTTTCTATCACTCCTTGCATATTGGTGGCATTATCGTCTTATTTGGAGTGAAATGATTAAAACAGACATATGCGTGTGTATATGAGTGCTCAGAAGTTATCCCATAATATTTTCATATTTAGTAACGTAATTATAAACTGAATATTTTAGTAACGTAATTATAAACTGAATAATTCCTTCACCATTTACTTAACATTTGTAATTTAACTCTGAAAAGGGCATACACACATTCTTATGACGGTTGCGACTCGATTTCGAATAATGTCATTGCTTGATCTATCGTCAGGTATGGACAGCGATGATATGACTTTTTAGCCCTGCTACTCACTTTGTATGACAGGGCTTTAGTTTTTATACATGTAAATGCGCATAAATATATGTATATTTTTCGACAAGAACATCGTTGCTTTGAAATAATGATGCTAATTCGTAACTACTATAGAACTGCTTACGATTTAACATCTACTATGCAAGTTCAAGTGCATAAACTTACTACCCATACACACACACACACACACACACACACACACACATATATATATATATATATATATATATATATATATATATATATATATATATATATATGTGTGTGTGTGTGTATAAAGGTTATTACGTTTTTGTAGCTCTATGTTCCTGCGTCATAAATCGATGAAATTTTGTTCAGAATAATGAAAAGGCATTGTTTTAGTTCTTGAAAATTGTAACACACAAACCGAAAATTTGATTTACCATATAGTCAAATAGGGTAAAAAATCATAATATTTCAGAAGTTTATTTTTCAATTTGCTAATGATATAATTGGATAGTACTTATGTATTTTTAATGCATTTAACAGTTTATAACTATATCATAACATACAAACTTGAAAATAAAGAAAAATTCTACAAGGTTCCATAAAGTTCTAGAAGGCTCCAGAAAGTAATAGTACTACTTTATTTATATACGAATTTAGAAATGTTGTATTGGGGTGACATATTAAACGAAAATAAAATGCATTAACACATTCTTCATAATTTTTTCATTTCGACGAATTAAAGCACAGTGAATCAATTATTTTACAAGAAATCATAACCTTAATGTATATATACCCTGATGCATATATAGTCACACGTTTGTATTACAATATGTATATTTCTTGCACTATTTTTGAATATATTAAAATTTCTGTGATCTTTCTAGCATACTGATGCATTGCATTATGTACATTATGTATATATATATATGGATGTAAGGAAGTCCTGTCGAATCCCTTGTGGACTATAAGGTCAAAGTCTCACCAAGTTTGGTGTTAATGCTGTAGTTTCTATAGCAAGTACGTTTGTATGGGCTGAATTTGTGCATGCGAATTATTTTATTTCACACACACACACACACACACACACACACACACACACACACACACACACACATTTAGTCCAGCTTAGGCTGGCACGAGATAACAGTAGCAGAGCACACAGTGTGGATGGAACTCAATATAGCAGCTCATAATTTGCAATACGCGCTCCATGCACATACTCCTACACCTACGCGTGTGCGCATATCTCAGTTGTGTTTGTATCTGTATTTGCAAATTTATCCATATACAAAAATGAACAGAGTGCGAACAACGCTGATAAAACAATAAGGAATAACCAAACAAATCGAACATTGAAAAGCTGTATATCCGAAGTGTCGTGTTTTATGCACTCCTATAGTCGTCCATTGTACCCTATGAGTTCGTAAGTCTTTTCGCCTGACCATCGATTCCCTCTCAAATCACTCTCTCACCTGCCTACCCTGAATCAAGTTTAATCTAGCCAAGACCAATTCGCCATTGTCCTTCGCTCAGCCTATCACTGTCTCTAATAATACTTGGTCTGGTCGTAAATTGTAGCCGGACCTCTTTATTCTGGCAGCCATCAAAACTTGGCTCGTTCATTTAGTCTTCTTGTGACACGTTGCTGTATGAGTTTTCACACTACTCAAGAAATATCGCTTCCGAAACCTTCAATGTGTGCAATGAAGGCTGTTATCAGTAATAAGCCCAAGTCCAGTTCGTACTATGGCATGAAAGCTTCAAGTCTTGTCCATTCACGTTGTCATCAAACGTTTGTATTTTAGAAGTGTGGAATGTGGATGGAAAGAGAATAGATCCTTGGTCGTAGTTGGCGTGCGTTCTCTCTTCTCTGTTAATTGGCCGATCGGGAGTCAATAGTTTGGTCGATCGTTATTCGTTGCTGAATCGCCCAACTGCGTGACTAGCGTAAAAAGACGTAACAAAAATCTGTTTTGAGCCATCAGCTGCATTACTGAGTTTCATTTACACTATGTCAGAGGTTATTATGCAAGTGAATGTCTTCACAATAAAACTGGTATTAACTAACCAATGTTATGAGACTGTATCATTATGTATCATTATGAAAATATTGATAATCATATGTTGTTTAGATAGTGACGGGTTTTATTTTGCAAAAAAGTGAAATGCAATTTTCATATTTATTTATAAATAAATCCAAAACATATACATAAATATATATATATATTATTTTACATTATTATTAAGCATGTTAATATGGGCTCCTTGATATTTTACAAAAATCATCTGTATTCCATTTTATTAATTCTTATATTCTTTCAACATTAATATTGCATTAGTTTTTATGTTACCAGAGATTTTCTTTCTTTGAATATTATTTTCTACCTTCTCATATATTTAAATAAAATTTTCAACCGGATTAAGATTTGGAGATGCTACAAGCTATTCCATTAAATTTGCGTCTTTGAAACTGTTTTTTTTAGCAAAATGAACAGTAGACGGTTTCGCCAACGTGAAAGAGCATTATTTTGCATGGATATATTCTTTAACTTAATGTTACTTGGCTGTAACCTGTACCACTCATATCTCATGAAATTTCTCTTTACTTATCTTACTTATCTTACCATTATCAACTTGAAGGGACCTATAATCTTACTGCCTACAATACTAACCTAAAACATTGCTTCATTTTACTCTTGATATTTTCTTTAAGTCATGTTAGTTAACTATTTCCATAAAGGACCCAATCTCTAGTCCAGTCATCCGTTCCAATGTAGATCTATATTCATCACTGTCATATTCTTTTATTTTAAAGCAATTCACTTCAAGCAAGGCGGGAGTGCCACTAGCACGCAAGGGGTTACAGTGGGTTGAGAGCAAGAGTAAGGAGGCATGTTTGAGGAAATGATACAGAGAAGGAAGGAGAACAAGATCGAGGTATCAGAAGATGTCGATTGTTATTACGCTTGAATATTTGAGGATTATAGTTTTCAGGGAAGCAAGCAAGAGGAAGGGAATTCCACAGACGGGAAGTGCGAGAGAAGAAACTGTTTGAGTAGAAGAGACGGTTACATTTAACCGGTTTGACAGTGAAAGGGTGGGACCGAGATGCCAGTCAAGTAGCTCGCTTAAATTCATGCAGTCTGAGAATCGGCGAAAGTAGTTCGTCGAAACATTTGGCGTGAAAATACTTGTAGAAAAGACATAGGGAAGCCACGGCATGTCTATGAGAAAGCGACTGTAAACTAGATGCCAGATCAGGCATATAGGAATAAAGTTTCGTTGCTGACACTTGGGTTTGAACACAGATCGTCAGAGAACAAGCACAGTCGACCTCATCTTGAAATAATTAGATCGCGTGACGGGTAAAGGAAAATATATATGGGAATTTGCGGCGTCTGACCGAGTTTTATTCGAAGGCTTTACAATTATTGTATCTTTGATTTTTCAAAGTCTCTCCTACAAACGGGCATTACAAAAATCACTGAAAATTACTGTCGAGAATTTAATTTCCATGTACTTCTTGAATGAACTTAAACTTAGTCTGATTACTTTCATATCTTTAACCAATGTTCCACATTTTTTCTCTTGGTTTACATTCTCAATATCAAATTTATTAAAATATTTTCTTTTCTTGCATATTACACTTTTAATTTTTCTCAGGTCTCTCTGTGGAGTTGTTGAAGATAGTGTTTCTTTTATTATTCGCTAATTTTTCAGGTTAATTCTTCAATGTTTTGTGATCCATATATAATCTTTGTTTGTCTTTTGCAATTTCCAAAGGCTTAAAAGTTGACAGAGTTTTAACGTGGCAAAATTCTCAATCAGCAAAAGCAAGATCTCTCTCTCTCTCTCTCTCTCTCTCTCTCTCTCTCTCTCAACGTGCTATTGCTGGTGAGATTGAACGTAGTAAAGCAGGATTATTCGACGGGTTGTCTGGAAGACACCAACTGATCATTGAACCAGACACAGAATGCAGCTCAAGAACAATTAAACATCATCTCCGAGAGAAAGGCTTTAAAAACCATAAATGTCTTCAAAGTTCATGCCTCCTTCTATACCACAAAACACTCGGTTAAACATTCCTGAGAAGCGACAAACATGGGACATAGAAAAGTGGAAGACGGTTTTGTTCCAGATGGCGTCCAGTGTTACTGGAACAATAAGGATATCTCACCGGAGATATTTTCTACACGACACAGTATCATGATTTGAGGTGATATCTAATTCCAGGGAGCAATGATGCTCCAGGTTATACAAGGGCGCCAAACCGTGACTGGTTGCATGTTGGATAGTGGCTCCAAATTAACTGAAGGTCAATGTTTGTGCTGAAATGATTGGATCTTTCAGCAGGACAACGCTGCAACCCATAATACCCGAAGGACAAAGGACTTTTTCATGGCCAATAACGTGATACTTTTCGATCATCCAGCTTAGACGCCCGATTTGAACCCCATTGAAAATGTTTGGGGTTGGTGGTAAGTTTAAAGAAATGAATGTCAATTCCTAGCAGTGCATGATCTTTGTGAAGCCATTTTCACTACTTGGAATAAAATTCCAGCCAGTCTTCTCCAGATGCTCATATTTCTAAAGCGAATTTTTGATGTCATTCACTATGACGATCGTGCAACTCACTACTGAGATGTCTTGTTGGGCATTTCTTACTCTGTTTAGCACTTGTAGTCATCGTCTTTTAATCAGCTATTATTCAGCCTAATTTCTCAGTATTCAAATTTTCCCTATTAAATGCTATAAAGTTTTGTAATTTTAATTTTCCTTTTCTTATTTTCCTTTTTTCAAGCTTTACTCAAATAAGAAGTTGAGTCTAACAATGCAAAATATATATTTTACTTTATTTTCTTTGACTTTAATATTTTGGCCAGCAGTGTATCTGGAATTTATAAAATAAACAGCAATAATTATATTAGTACGTATATTTATTTTCAATATGACGAACGGCATTGCCTTTTAAAATATCACACCGCCAAATAAATTATTGTAAATAATTAAGATAAAAATATATAAGTTTAAATTTACATAATATATTTGACTTATAAATATATTTTAAAATTTTGTGGCATCGTTTGATGACACTAAATTATATTCTGAAAACGTTGACATGCATAATAAAATGTGACATATCACTCTACCTCTTCTCTTTTGGGTGTGACTGGCCGCTCAGATAAGTGCATATTTGTTCCTGGTTCTTGTGAATCATAGTAAAAGCAAAGGTTTTGACATTTTCTTTTTGTAGTTTGGCAGACCCTCTTTTTGTATAAGATTTATGTAGCATATTTTTTATATTCGTTAAAAACAAAGAAAAGATTACTGAACTGTTAGATGATATTTGTCCTCTTATATGCCAGTGAAAACCGGCCAATTTCTTCAAAGATGAAGAAACAACAGAAATGTGGTTCTACAGAAAGATGCTGAGAATAACATGGACCGAACATTTGGACAAAGACGAAGGTTTTAGAGAGGATAGAAAGAAAAAGGAAACTTATACTTAACGCCAGCAAGAGAGAGAGTTGAAATTTATGGGACACGTAATGAGGAAGAAGGGCTTAGAAAATCTGATACACACAGGACAGACTGAGGGAAAGAGAGGCAACACCGGACATACTTGATGAGCATTAGTTTTGGATGGTAGAACAGGGTTTGGAAGAAATAGCAAAAAGACAAAATGTGTTAAGAGCTACAAGGGACAGGAAGATGTGGAGGGCCATGATCGCCTACGTCCTGAAGGGATACGACACATAAAGAAGAAAAAGCAATTACAAAATTTGTACTTACAAAACTTTTAATCTCTTCCTGATCTATCTATCTAATTAATTACAAAGTGCTTTTATTTTCGTTATTTTTAATATTTTTATAAGTTTTTCAGGTATTCTTTGGAATATTAAGAATTAAAATAACATTCGCTGGTTCATAGATAAGAAATAAATCACTAGAGTTAAAGAGTTCAGTTTATAATACGAAAAAGATACATAAATCAAGATAGAACGAGAAGAATTGGCGAGCAAGTAATTATGAATTAGACGAACGCAATATCACGATTCATTGATTCCATAGATCAAAGACTATTACCATTTGTACTGACTAATCATTTAGTTGGACACTTTGCCGGTACTGCATCAATGTGACCTTCACTTATTGCCATTTACTCCCCGCTTCTCAACAACCGCATCATGACTCTTCTCATAACCATTACTACTACAACTATATTTGTAGCAATTCTTTGACTAAATTCAATTTCACCGCCCGTGGTCAGCAATAATGGACGGACGCTGGCAAACTGACCGATTGCCGAAGTAAAGCAAATGTGAGATCAATTACTAGACAAGGAGCAGCTACAATAAATAATCCAGTCATTAAATGTCCGCACAGTGTGTAAAAGAGGAACAGTGATAGGTGTTAGGAGGGTAGGCATAAATTTCAATATATGTGTTTATATATTAGATAATAAGTTTATGTGTTATAAATTGTCGTTGGCTTTGCGTGTAAGCGTTGATGCGCACAAATGCTATTCATTTGTATCCAGTGATATAGTCTTTTCATATCTGATTTGTAAAGACATATTCATAGTCAAAGAATATTCAAAATATTACCAAATTCCTTTCACGTGTGCATACACACATACACGCGCGCACGCACACACACGCACACACATACACGCACACACACGCACACACATACACGCACACACATATATAGTATTAATATTAGTGTTTTGGTGCCAAAATTGCTGCTTATTTTTCCGTAGTTTCCTGGTGGGAAATATTTTAGGCATGTAGTTTTTTGTCATATCAAAAGGTAATTGTAGAGAGGTAACAGAATTAATGTGGAGAAACTTACCCCTTAACTGAGTGGTGTTGATTCAGTCATGCCGACTTCAAAGTTTCGTGAGTGCATTGCAGTAATGCTTTTACTCTGCAGGGCTGTTTGCTTCCCTCTGTCTGTGTGTCTGTCTATCTCTCTCTCTCTCTCACTCTATCTCTCTTTGTATATATACATGTACACACACACACACACACACACACACACACATATATATATATATATATATATATAGATGTATATATATATATATATATATAGAAGTATATAGATATATATATATTGTAACGAGCACTGTTTTTAAAAATAAAAATAATTACTAGGAACATCGGATTGTAAATCTAACTGTACTTTCTTTATTATTTTAACACACACGTACACACACACTTGCACAAACACACACACACACACTTACACACACACATACACTTACACACACACACACACACACACACACACACACACATATATATATATATATATATAATCTGATGTTTTAGTAACCCGGTTTGTCCGATAACTTATTAGCACACAACCCATATATATATATATATATATATATATATATATATATATATATATAAAAATAAATGTGTATGTGTGTTTGCGTGTGTGTGTGTCTGTGTATTGAAAAATGTTTCGACAATGAACCAGTATTATTAGAAATATAATTTTATTCTTTTGTGATGATGTCAATTCATTGACAACACATCAAAATTGAAATTTTCCAAATTTTCTTATATTATTTACATTCCGTCTGATTTTCATACCGTTTTACTCTCTCACGTACACACGCACATACTCACACAAATACCCCTCCACACTCGCTCCCTCCTCCTCTTTCTCTCTCTCTCTCTCTCACACACACTTTCCTTTCTCTATATATATCCCCATATATATATATATATATATATATATATATATATATATATATATATATATATACCTGAGATTGTGTTTGCATAATTTTGTTTATTGTCAAAAGTGTTAAAGTAATTTATGGAGAATCTTCATCTTCATATATTTTGTATGACTGCGTACTCTTAATCTCTACGTCTGCAGTTCATATGCTCGATTGCTATGCTATGTACGCGTGTGTATATCCACAAATAGTGTGCGCTTATGTAGGAGTAGGGGATGAAATATTTTATGTATTTGTCTATGCATCTGGAAATGCATTGATAAAACTTGTAAAGTCGGCTGATGCCAGATCAGTCCAGTTCCCATTTTCTGAATGTCATGTCGAAATGGGTCAAATTCTAAAAGAACTTATATCATTTCTTCACGAGTGGGGGAAATTTCGATTTAGTTAGCAAATGAATTGTTTTTCTTTTAGTTGTATGTTTCGATATATCTGTGTGAATTCATATACTTGTAAGTATATAATGTGCATAATATTTATGCATATCTAAGTATGTAGATTTATGCATTGCCTATTATACATATTTTTAGAAAATAATTTAAAAAAATGTATTTTGCTGTGTCTGTCGTTACCTTTCATTCAGTGAGTTAATAACCGGTGTTGATTTCATTATCTATTTTTTTAAATACTTTTTGTTTATGCGAACCTGCGTGTACTTGTGTGTAAGTACTTGTGTGTAAGTACTTGTGTGTATGTGTGCATGTTCATATATATATGTTCACACATAGGAAGTGTTGCACTCGATGCACACACACATATATATATATATATATATATGCATATATACGTGTATGTATTTACAACTTAGTATCTTCTTGGCGTACATGAGATCTATCGATATATCTTGTCCATTAGGAGGTTTTTAATTCATAAAAATTGAAAACAACATTGAAAATATTGACTGCACATGAAGAAGTTTGCTTTTATTCTTCCTATGAGGCTTTCAAGCGTCGAAACGTTATCAAGATCAATCTCAGTTTTATATAATAGACTTTGAAGTAGAATTCATTTCTTTCTTTCTCTCTCTCTCTCTCTCTCTCTCTCTCTATATATATATATATATATATATGTGTGTGTGTGTGTGTTTGTGTATCTCTATGTTCTTGTATATGCATTAGTGTATAGTTTATATAAATGTATGTATGTATATGTATACACGTATGTTTCATTCTTGTATCTATTCTTATACACACGCACAAACACACACATATATGTTTGCAAAAATCGGTTTGTGCGCATGTTTACACAATGTTATCTATTTTTCTCTGTGTGCTCAAATTTGGTGTTTTTTTTAATACACATTTGTGTGCAATTTAACTTCTACTCAGGGATATGTTTATTTGTCTTCGTGTGTAGTGTGTGGCAATTTTACGACCTCTACGTGTATATGTGTATTTGTGCATACAGCCTTTTATGGTTTCGATTGACTGAGGCTATCAACTGAATTCTGGGTCATTTGTTGATGAATTTAGCAGAATATAAAGGTAAGACTATGTGTGCAGTGCTTTTCAGATGATGTGTGTCAGTTGGCATGGGATTCCCTTCGGGTAGCAATTGCTGCCCAATGTTCTCTTTCGACACAGGAACAGAGCACAGAAATCATTAGATAAATAAAGGCGCTATTCAAAAAATATGTTATTTACTTAAGATTAAAGTTGAACCATTAGAATTTGTCCGGATTAAAAATTAATGTTTTTATATCAGGAATCTATCGAACCGCATAAGTATAGTCAAAGTATCATTTTATGAATTTCTCGAAAGGCGATATGATCTTTTCACTTCATGTCTGAATTCAGAAATTGCTTCTGGGATTTCGTAGATACAAACGTTACAAAATGCATGCATATATGTAAATGTGTTTGTATGACAATAAATATGGGTATTTTACATGTATACATGTAAATATATTCAATCTCATGTTTGGCACAGTTTTTAAGTATTTACAGAACATTTTTTATGTTTAGTTTTGATTAAATTAAAATTTTTATCTCTTATTTTAGGAAAATATTTGCATTTATACTTAAAAAACATACGCATTAACGAAATACATTTGGGCGATTGTTAGCGACTTATTTTTGCAAGCAATCACTAGTTAGTTAATTCCTCACTAAGTGCTCCAGTGATATGGCCCTGGATCTTGTTTCATTTAACAAATATCGACAAAGCTCAGTTGCTTATATACATACAAAAACCACAGACTAATGCACATTCATTTGGTCTTACAATAACGTATGAATATGAGCTTGACATTAAATTGGAAATTACAAAAATTACCATAGGTCCACGATGAGGTCGTTCTGAAAGTAATCGCTAAACTGAGGAAAGTGCCCGTTCATCTTTTTCGCTCGCTACGCTCGTTGTATTTTCAGAGAAAATTAATGCTAATTTCGTTATGCGTAAATGGGTGAGAAATAAAAACGTGATATACGAGCGAGCGAATTATTAGCGCCCAACGAATTTACTCTTAAGCGAACATCATGTCGGCTGAGGCAGCGAGTTTTGCAGCGACGGATCATGAATTAGAGTGAGCGAGGAGATAAGGTGTTAAGGACAAGGTAAAAATGCAGTGAAGGCTGGGAATAAAGCAAGTGAAAGGAAATGCTGGAAAGATGGCATCGAGGATTTATAAGTATCTGTCCCTTTTCCAGCCATCATCGCTGGAAAGTGCTTTTCGTATATGCAATCGCGTGATGGATGCTCTTTGAAAGACAGGTACGAAACAATTTTATTCGTTGACTCTTATTTCCCTCTTACTTTTCTCTACCTTCACTTCTTTTCTTTTTACATCTTTTCTTGCTCTTGATTTTCTTCTCTATCTTCTTACATTATTTTTAGTTTTCGCTTCTCGAAACTATGTTTCCCTGTATATTTATTCATCGTTACGCTACTTTTTCTTTTATTAGACAATCCTTTTTTTTTTTCTCTCACTACTTTTCCTTGTGATTCTATTTCTTTCTTCTTAATTTCTACATTTTTGGGGCGTGGGAGAAGATGGGTATCTGTGCTTGCCTTCCGCTGATTTCGTCATTTATTTAGCCCGACATTGAATACTTTTTGCAGCCTTTCTTCTTTTCTTTCTTGCCTTCTTTACTTACATTTCCGTCCAAAATCTCTTTTCATTCTGCTCTCCTCTCAAAATAGAAAAACATGTAAGGCGCCTGCTGTAGAGTAGTAGTTAGCAAGAAAGGTTGGAAAATACTGCAAGTAGGCTTGCACCATTATTGTAGCCGTGTCCCAGGCTGAGTTAAATATTTACTTAGACATGCACCTGCTTACGCAGATACATGTGCTTTTACCAATAGGCATAGAACATAAAAATAAGAAATACTTATAATAGTCCTAGTGTAAATAATGTAATATTTACACGAGGACTCTTTGTTGTTATTATCACTACAGCCGTTGTACTATCCGGCCTTTAGTAGAAGTTTTTCGATCATAGTAGCCTTTATGGAATAAGCTGAACCCTTTATTTAATCATATTCACGAATCAAAGTTTTAATCCACTACACTATTGTCTCTTGGATTAAAGCGTTGGCTTGTGAATTTGGTAAAGGCAATTGTAAATTCAATCCCTGAGCCGAGTAGTGTCGATTTAGGCATGGCGATCAATAACGGCAGTACTAAATATGAACAAGACAAGATCTCCGTAGCCATGTACAACGGAAAGAGAACAATCTACTCCGTCGATTAAATAAAGGATTTAGAAAGAGTAAAATTCTAAACATTTTGCAACAAATATAAAAGAGTCATTTTGCTTCTTCACCTTGTCAAGGGACCTTTTGTCCTGCAGTCAGTCTAGCACTTAAAAATCCCTAATGCCCAGAGAATTTAGGTAACTACTAAACGAAGACACATCAACTCATCTAAATGTTCCTCTCCTTTCGACTTTCTCGCGTCATCAGAGGCCATTCTTTCCCTGCCATTTTGTGTCCGCCTCCCCAAATGGCCGTTTATTGCTGCTGATAATCGCGTTAGTTGGCACTTAAACAAATTACGGCCACCACTTGCCCATTACCGCGTCCGTGTTGTCAATGTCTCAATAAAGATACAATGTCCATCAGCATCATCTTTCCTCCTGCTAGTCAATCTCGAAGATTCTTGTCCAGAATGTAGCATTTACAATATCCCAACTAAATTCATTTTCCTTCTTTCTTTTGCTTTTTTTTTCCATCCTCGAAACTTCATTCTTTTAAAAGATTCTATATTAGTTTTCTATTACCTTTTCTTATCGTCCTTCATTTTTTGTGATTTCTTTTCTTTCAGATACTTACAAGGATTTGCCAAACTTTCTCTGACCTTTTTCTTACGTCTTGTTTTTATTTCTTTTCGTTATTTATCTATATTCAAGATTTTCTTTTTTACAGTCACTTTTTAAAACTTCCACCTGCCCACTTTTTATTTCCTTCCTCACTTTTGCTTTCCACATCTCTTTTCCAAGCAATCTAAATGCTTTGTCATGCAGTCATCATGGCGAAGTTTGATTATCCTTTCTTGTGAATGTGTCATAAAATGATATACTTTATGTCCAATCCTAATCAATTTTCTCTTTATTTTCTTATTTACTTAAGTCTTTTGTGATTCTTGGAATCTCTTTTTTGTTAATATCCACGGTTCGTTAGGGCAATAACTTACAGCACATTTATTTATTCTCAATAATATCGGCAATATATATATATATATATATATATATATATATATATATATATATATATATATGTGTGTATATATATATATATATATATATATATATATATATATATATATGTGTGTGTGTGTGTGTGTGTTTCATTAAATAAGACCTACGAGGTACTGCGGTTAAGATTTTTTTATTTAATTTGTCTTGTGTTATAATTTTCTTCTTTTCTGGACATAAATTATGCAGAAATTGTCCACTCGTATTTAATGAAACTTGTATAAAAGAGGGTTTGCTACCCAAATTTAATTGTATTGTCTCCCCGCTTATTTTCTTTCTCCTTACCGGGATCAATGATGACAGTTTGTCTCCGTCTGAATTGTTCGAGACCTGGGAAAATTTACTTTTCAAGGCAGAATTTCCTTAACTGCAGACGCTTACAGTTAGAAGATTGGTGATACACAATGTTCTCTTCTACCAGAGTAAGATATTTGCAAGCTTTGTAAAATCTGCAAAGCAGAGAACCCCGTATCTATTCCGCTCTGTTCATATGTACAGTAAACTAATCAACAGAACTACTTTTTTGTGAATTCTCATGAGGAATGTCAACTGAATGGTAAGTTCTTTGTAATAATAATAATAATAATAATAAAATAATAATTATGAAATAGCAGGAGGAGGCCTGTCCCCCTGAACTTGATGTCCCACTATGGTATAGATATGCTCTGGCGCCCACACACCAGTCCCCACATATGGATAAATACGAACTAACTATAATGCTGACACAACGAAAAATATTGCTAAGCCGCATCGGTCGTCGCGCAGGTCAACAAGTACCGTGATCCCCAGTGAAGAACCAGACTGGGATAGAAAAGTTTGCAACTGGAACAAATTCTACCCAACGAGAACTAGAGGAAAACCACAGAGGACCTTTATATTCATTTAAAGAAAATCCCACACAAAGAACAATAAATAAATGGTTTAAGAAGAGTATATTGAAGTAATTATAGCATTTTACACTGCTACAACAAATCCGACAACGAACAAAACTGCCTATAATATCTGGCGAGAAAAAACACCCCTCAAACAAACATTGATACCAGCAAACTAGCCAATGTCAGGCGTGACATAATCAGGAAAAAAAAGAATATCTGACATAGAACTCGAAAGCATCCGAGAAAACTCCAAAAAAATACATTAAACGTTAACATCCATGGGCCAACAACACAGAGGAAATACTTGCAGAGGAGCAAATAGAAACCAGTTGTAATAATCTCTCTGAGGCACGCAAACAAATACAGGAAGATAATGACGCATACGAGAGATAAACAGAGATGTTAAAAAATATCCGGTATAAATAGGAGAAGGTAAAGGAAATGTCTTTCGAGGAAAGACCGACAATTCCAAAAGTAAGAAAGAACCGTCCTGTGAAGGAAACCATCAATCTTGCTAACCAAGCAATTAGAAAAATAAGGGACGAAATAGAAAGACCAATGAGCCTGACAGAAATTAATGATCTTATATACGCGGCATTGGTAACGATCGCAGAAACAATAGGTGAATAAGCGAAAACACAGCCTAAACGAAAAAAGAAAATGCCAGGTTGAGAAGAAAGAATAGAAACCGAAATAAATAAATTACGAGGACAATTATCACTTCTAAGTGTGTGTAGACAAGTGCTCTAAAATGAAAGAAAGAAAAAGGAGACAACTGAAACGACGTCTTGACATAAATAATAAGACTGACGTAGCAAAAGTTAAAGAGAAGCTGAAAAAACAAATTCAAGCGAAGACACAGAGAATCAGGTGAAATGAAAAACATTCTTCTGGCAAAACAAGATTTTCAAAGAAGATGCCACGAAACTAAATCAAGAACTGGGAAAAAATAAAATAGAGATAAATGACCCTCCTAATATTCAGGAAGTCGATGAGTTCTGGTGTAAGATGTGGGAAAACTGAAAAAATGGACAATGAAAGAGCTACATGGATCAAGCAACAATAGAAACAACACACATATATAGAATGTCAAAAATGGACGGATATCAAAATTATTGAAACCACCGCTGCCATCTGCAAAACGATAAAACTGGAAAGCACTAAGAATAGACTGAATAGCCAATCTTTGGATAAAAAAACCTATCTAGCACCCACCAAGATATAATCATAATCCAAGAAAAATGCCCCAAATGGCACACGTGAAGAGTAACATACACCCAGAAACAGAAGAGACGCAGAACCCGAAAAATTACATGCCTATCACCTACCTACTAACAATGTACAAGATCCTCACTACTATCATAAGCAAGAGGACATACAGTTTAATTGAGAAAAACAATTTACTTCCAGCAGAACAGAAGGGATGTAGAAGACGAAAGGTGCAAGGACCAACTAATTATCAATAAGACAATATAAATCAGACAGAAAATATTGAAATGGAGGAACGAGAACAACTCCCAAAATTACAACCAACACATCATAACCTAAAACCTATTAAACTCTACATTTGCAAAATCCACTTTGCAAAAGAAAAACAGAGAAAGAAATTGAACAACTTAGAAGTGAGTTACCAGTACTCGATGAACTGGCAAGAGGAACAAATGTAAGGACTAGAAAAAGCAGAAGAATGAAAAGAAAATGCAAAATTAGGATTGAAAAAGGATTCCTGTCAGCTAAAGAAAAAATAAAGCAAACAATACAACTGAAGGATGAAAGAATCAGACGCCATGAAAAAGATCAAGATTCTACAGATAGAACAAGATCTTTCAAACCAATGCGAAGAAATTTTACAGAGAAATAGGCAAGCAGAAAATTGAAGTAACAACCCCAACAATAGAAGAGGTTATAGAGTCCTCTGAAAAAAAAATATGGGCTTGCTCTAAAGAACATAACAAAGAAGCAAATTGGATTACGCAAGAGGTAGAACGATTGAAAAATAAACCAGAAAAAACTTGAGCGGAAATCACAGAAGATGTTGAATATGCACTGACAAAAGCACACAATTGGAAATATCCAGGAATAGATAAAATTCCTGACTCTATTTTCTAAATACAGCACACAAAAAACGAACCAAAGAATTTCAAGAAACGGTCAATGATCCTCCTAAAATTCCGGTTTGAGTAACCAAAGGAATTGCCTTCCTTCTACCTAAGAATGGTGACACAAATTTCCCGAAAATACTACAGACCAATTACATGTCTTCTCACTATTTACAAACTGTTGATATCTATTTTGACGAAATATTCCTTCTTAGAGACAAATGATATACTACTTCTTGGACAAAAACGGTGCAAACATGGCTCTTACGGTTGTAAAGCGCAATTACTTATTAATAGGATGATCTTGGAAAACTGCTTCAAGACAATGAAACATCTTAGTATTGGCTGGATGGATTACCGTAAGGCATTCGATAGTGTATCCCATTCCTGGATCTTAAAGTCTTTAAATATTATACAAGGTATCACCTGTCGTCATCAATTTCATCAAATAAATTATGTCGATATGGAAAACATTTCACATATTTAATATAAATGGAATAAGTCTGATGAAATAAACATCAACAGAGGAATATTTCAACGTGACTCTTTGTCCCCCTTACTATTTTGTATATTCAAAATGCAGATTATGTGACAAATATCAGGAAACCATAGATCATCTAATCTCAGGATGTGTTCCGTATTTGCACCAGATGAATATAAAAATCGTCACGATACTTAATATATCACAATTCATATATCGGGAAATATTTACACTGGACAATGTGAAAACATTTTGGAGAAGATGTTAATAAACATTGGTATGAATATCACCCAGCACCGGTTACAGTAATAGAAAACATCAAAATTCTATGAGATTACACCATCTTTACAAAAAGGAAGATTGAAGCAAAAATCGAAAGCAAAAACCTTGCCTACTAATTGACATGATTTGCCCAGCGGACTGTAACATACCAACCGAGGAATTTGAAGACTATCGAAGAATAAAGACCTGGAAATCGAAATGGAAAAACTGTGGAAATTGAAAACAAGTATAGTACCGATCATAGTACGTGAGCTTGGAATGATGAAAAAAGGAATACAACAACATATTGAAAAATCTCTGGCAATCCAAGCTCAAGAGAAATACAAATAATTGCCTTGATAAGTACGACCCACACACTAAGAAGAACTCTGTCCATGTAACGCTAGTGAATGTTATGGGTATTAGAAAAACAGATCATGAAATGTAGCCAAAAAAACACACCACTACGTGCCTTAGGTCTTCCCGTAGACTTGGTAGGTAGTGTGACCATAGCAGAAATCGAAATAATAATAATAATAATAATAATAATAATAATAGTATTCACATCTTTTCCGAAGTGTAATTTCAATTTCTCTTATTTATTAGACTTTCGCACAAGCAGATTAAAGAAAAAAAAACAATAATATATGCATAGTTATGTACAGCTCGATATTTGATTGAAGGAAAGACATTGGCTTTAAAATATTTTAATACTAATACTGGACAGGAAGCAACGAAGCATGGAGACTGATATTTTCAAACTATCCTTAGATTATATGTGAATAATAATTTCGTGGGCTATGTATATAGACCACTGGGATTAGATTAAGTGACATAGTGGGAAGAGGAAATCGGCAATCCGCAGTTTATTTGCTGAGGGTTAATGATTTAGCTTAATTTAGAATCATTGCCTATTTTTTATTTATATATTTTTTATTTATATATTTTCATTTATTTATTGATTTTCATTTATTTATTGATTTTCTTCGGTTGTAAATTTTCATATTTAAAATGAAATTTAGTAAATTTATATTGTAGGATTTTATTTAGTCATTTGGGTCATGATGTTGTAGTATTTTAGTTAGCGTAGTGGAAATTTACTTTCGTGTCTGCATTTGAAAGTAAATTCACATCTTTTGGTAGTTTTGTCTATTACGTTAATTTGTAGGCAATTACATTTGGTAGGCATTTATACTTTGTTCTACAGTTACAGGTGAAGGATGCCGAAGCTTGTAGTGTATTGAGAACTTTTCTGTTGTTGTTTTTAATGATTTGCAGAGCAATGCTTATCTTTTATGTTATAGAAACAATGTGTTACTGAATTTTTTTCTGCAAATTTAGAACTAAAATTGTTCTTCGTGCAGAGTTAATTTTTCATAGTATACTTTTACTTATTTCTCCTAGTTTTCTTTTTGTATGGTTTATTACACTACATATTGGATTAACACTGAAGTTTTATTTCTGGTATTTTAGTGAGATGAATACCTGTGATTTTGCGAGGTAGTCTATGCGATTATCTCGGTTGAGATTTTGCTGGATTTTGGCATTCCGTTTAATTTCGTCTTTTGTTACTTTGGGTTATGTTTTCCTTAAGTAACTTGTTGTGTTCTCGGGATTTTAGCTTGTATTTGTTTCTAGATTTATCGGCGCGAACGAAGATGTTAGGTGACTTTTTTTTATTTTGTTTATGTCCTCTTTGAGTTTACTTTGGAATTCGTGTACGTTGTTATGGAATTTTATGTGTCTGATTATGTTCGTTAGGTCTGATCTCAAACTTATCTATTTAGTTTTTTTTGTTTTGAAGGCGTAGTTTTCTTTTTGTCTGGTGTTTGCGTTATATTACTAGTTTAAGGAGAATGTTTATATCTTATTATTTTTTTTATTAATTTTAATTTGTATAGTAATGGCGCTGTGATGAGAATGTTTTTTGTATTTTGAATGTTGAATTTTCCTTATACTTAGGTTGATGTAAATTCCGCAAATGTGTGCTACTGTTTTCCAGGAAATAAGTATAAATATATTGTTTAAACTTCCCATATTTGTAAGAGACGGGCGATGAAAATCGGAAACAGTTTTTGTAGATATAGATAGCATTGACAGAGGAATTAAAAATTCATCGAAACTGCCAGTTTCACGACTATAGCGATATTCAGTACTATTTTCGTGACTTCTAGGAGTATAAGCGAACTAGAGGGAGGGAGAAACTGGCTCTCCCCAGGTTCTTTGTTCAAATCTAATGAATTAAAGTTATTTCTAGTCATTACGTTTAGTATATTCATTTTACTTATTATTTTGAATTTATCATTTATTTTTTTTATTGTTTATTCTTATTTTAAATTTATTTTATTATTCATTTGCAACAACACCTCAAAACATTGTAATTTCTGGGTGCAGGAGGAAACAGAGATAATCAGCTTTCTAGAATAAAATCAAAGAAAATTTTACAGCTCATTTCCAAAGGCAGATCAGAAACCAAATTTATACTACACTACGTAAAGCTACGTCATGAGTCAAGGATTAAATGAAATTTCATAACCTAAATCTTTAAAAATTTAGAAAATATAAAACAAATAATTAAATAAATAAATAATATAATAAATAATAAATATAATAAACAAAGAAAAGGTTAAAATATTTTTTGTAGAAGTATCCGCTACATTTTTGTTTACCACTTGTAGTTCTGCATTTTGTTTAATGCAAAACTACAAACTTCCAATTGAATTCAATTTTGAAAAGACTGGAGTCTATTCCACTGTATGTGTATTTCAAAATGTTTTGGGGCGAAGAGGACAATAAACATCTTTTCCGAATATGAAAGACAATTATTATGTATTGATATCCTCTTTAATTTAAAGCTTCTTGGTTGTAACATATACCACATAAAATGTATTATCCATGAAATTACGACAATCCTTTGCATATACTTTGGCACTATATTATCAATTTTGTTGGGAAATTTAATTTTTACCTACAATACTAGTCCAATCATCATGTCTATCCAATGTAGCTCTTCTTCCATCACTCTCATTCCATATTATTGCTGAAAAATCAGTTTTCACCTGCGTTTTCGCCCAAAAGGTTGTTTTTCGTGATATTTACTTAAAAGTGGTAGTATTGTATCTCTTATATCTTTTGACACTGTTCTTAATATTCGGTATCTTTTCTCTCCATTCACATAAGCAATGCAAGATTTTTAAAAAGAACTCCCCGGGAAATGGTGTAAGGTTTAGAGTTAAAGGTATAGTTATTATATAGAATGATGAACCACACACACATGCAGTCCTTATTCCTCTCTCTCTCTCTCTCTATCTCTCTCTCTCTCTATATATATATATATATATGTATATATATATATATATATATGGGAACGAGAGGATGCTCTGAATTTCTTCAACCTATCAAAAAACAAAGAGAAAGAACAGATGGAGTTAGAATCCACAGTTCTTAGCATTTAGTTTTTAAAAAGTGTTCAATACATATGTAGAGCAAAATATAATATTAAACTATTTTTATTATAATAGATTACAATAAAAATATTTTTACATCGCCACACAAAACCTTTCATATTTCGGAACTTTAATGGTTTCTCATCAGGCGATGGTAGATAACATAATACAAATGATTATGAAAACAAATCTTTACCTCTTTTGAAAGTTAAAAAAGGAGGGCAAGCCTAATGTCAGAATTAAAACATATTCTTGTGGGCATTGATTAATCAATTAAATGTCAGATGTATGCTAAAATAGAAAAATGAAAAATAATATCAGAGTGTGGAGGGAGGTGGGTTATAAAATCATTTCTTGATACATTGACACTCTAGACATGTCAGCGTCGAACATAATATAATATATTCAATATAATTTGGCATCGTATATTAAAGTTCCGCAAAAAATTCTTCTAACTTTATCTATTAGATTAAGAAGTTTCCGTAGTATAAAAAATTTTGCAAAATTCGTGAAAACAATTTTCTTTTTGTTCAAGGTTACTGTATGTCTACTTCACCAAATCTGAACTATATATATATATATATATATATATATATATATATATATATGAATGATGACTTAAACTCATAGGGACCCGATCGTTCAATTTATATTATAAGCCTTTTCGAAGAAATACCCACACATACGCAATACCAAACGCTCTATACACACATATTCAAAGAGAGAGACATACACTGACAGAATTATTGGGTTTTAAAGAACATTTCCCACTGCTCTTACCATAAGGCCAAGTCAACAGCTGGTCTCGTAATCTCGCGAAAACATTACACATTTTTACTCGCCGTTTCATATGGCCGTACCAGTATCCCACGTGACCGAAATGATTTATCGCCGGCGTGACGTCACTAGTCGCCGGAATGGGGCCCATACCTTATCATTCAGAAATGTTTTATTTACGGCTTGCTACAAATTACACTGCCTTTTTCAATAACAATAAAAAATAGCAAGCACATAAAAGAGATGACAATGACAGAGACTACAATTCCATACAAATGGACACTCCCGTATATTTGTTCATGTTTAGAGATAAACGCGCGCGCGCGCACACACACACACACACACAAACACACACACACACATACGCGCGCGTGCGCCCACATTTATAAATGTGCAATGAATATGTGTGCGTGTTTTCAATCAAAATAGTTACTTTTATTTTCTTTCAAACCCGCGCTTTTATTTTTGTTTCTCTCTTTCCTTTCCTCTTTTTTTTATCTTCATTCATTGCACTTTCATTTTTATTATTCCGTTTTATTAATTTTCTTCACATTTCTACCTTTTTGTTCTCAATCAGTCATTTATTAACATTTGATTTTTATCCCTTTCTTTTTTTATTATCTTACTATTCAATTTTTTTAAAAATTATTATTTTTATTACATTCCCCACATCTTTTCATGAACTTTATCTCTTTCGGAACATTTTACTTACTTTCTTTCTTTCTTTCTTTCTTTCTTTCTTTCTTTCTTTCTTTCTTAAACACCATAACCACTTCTCCTCCTCTATTTAATCCCAACGGTCTCCATTTCCTCCTCCTTTTTCATTATCCCTCCTACTCATCGTATTTTATCTTTTTCCTCCCGCTCATTTCGACTCATCACTGTCACCCCCAGACTACACCAGTATATCACCCCACCACGTGTTTATATATTTGCTTCTTAATAGCACAACTGACGACTCCAAGAAACTAAAAAAGAAAAGCAACAGTAATATTAATGTTGAAATTCCCTGTTAACTTCACCGAACACAATGTGACCGCCGATCGTAAATATTTCATTCATAATAAACTATGTCAGAAAAGGATTTTGCTTTACGACTGCCGTACGACACTCCACACAACCTCAACAATTTTAGTCATTATTGTCGTTTTTCTCGTATTGTTTTAATTTTCCTTCTTTCTATGGCTGTTATATGCCCGTTACTTGTAATTTCTTTATTCTGTGGTTTTCCTTTTTTTTTTGTCTTGTCATCACTTTCGTCTACATCCAACCAGATAATGCCATAATCATCAATATTATCATATCTCTAAGATGGAGCTATAAAGAAGAAAGAGTTTGACGGCAGACGGGGTCTTGGCAGAACGGAAAAGGTTTTGGATTGCGTTAATGGCAAATATATTGGCAATAATGTTAAATGAAAAGATTCAGATTTCGCCAGTGATGGTTTCAGTTGTAGTGTAGTCATTAAATTGGCAATAATAATTTAGGCTTTGAAAACTGGACTTATTACTATAATAGAACTCTTAGTATGATCAAAATTAGAAGAAATTTTAAATATCATCCCTGTCCTTTAACATTACAAGTCAAAATATTACATATGTTTAAGATTATCCAGGAAAATATACTGTTTAAATTCAAATATACCGGTCTATCTATTTATGAAGATTTGATAGAGAAACAGTATCATCCTTAATTACTGAAGTTTTCCCCAACACAATATTCTTTTTGAAAAATATATCTACTTCTACGTTTGACTTTATTGCTTTGTCATTTTATGAGGTCTTGACGATAGAAAAACCGCATAAAATTTTAATGGCTTAATTACAAGTGTCACAAAATGTATTTCAACCATTTTGAAAATTAGGGTTTCAATTTTGTTTATTTTCTTTAAGTAGCACAATTGATTTGTCAACACAATAAAATTATTAAATGTTCTGTGAACAGTAAGATACTTGTGAATGTAGAATCTTTGTAGTCTATAGTATATAATAAATGTATATATTTACATTGATCGGACTGTTGTCCTCATCTTTATTGCCATATTTACAGCATTTCGGCCGTTATACGCTTCGGCCTTTTTCATATATTTAATATAAACAATATATTACTTGTATTTCAGCTTATGCCATCTGCCCTCATTAAGAAAATATTGTGTCAAGTTTTAATATGACAACAGAATAAATGTAACGTGTTTGTTTTTTATAAATAAATTCAAAAGACAAATATATATTTGATTATTAAAATGTCATACATGTAAAAAGTTTAGATATAACTATAAAAAGAACATCTGCCTAGAGACAAACGAAAACTTTTCTTAGCCGACGCGTTTCGTTCTCTGCTGGATTTTATCAATGCAAATATTCATATACATGAATAAGATATTCATTTACTTTACATGTTAATATAGAATCCTTGATATTTTATCATCTTCTTTCATTGATTCTAACATTTTTTATTGGTTTAGATTATTCTTCCTCAAACTTTTTCGCTGTTACTTTGACTTTGATCCGTTGGGTCACCGACGGTTCAGGTTATAAAACATTGAAGTTGATTTCAACGTTCCATTGAAATGAAAGATAATTTTATTATGATTCAGTTAAATATTTCAATTCGTTCGCGTCATCATTGATCTGGTTTACAAGTTCATGTTTAACGTTGTACAGATTATTTAATAGGAACAGAACTTCCGGGATAAACTTGAATTTTAAATCAGATTAACTTAATTTATTTTTTTTAATATGCCAAAAATACTTTGAAATCATATTCACTTAAAAATGACAAAAATATTTTTTTAAATATTGTTTGTTTAAAGAAAGCTGAAATATAAATAATTACTCTACAAACAAATGGACAAAACAGCAAAGCGGGATTTCTTTGTGTCTGTCTTTAACATAAAAATGATTTAATTAAAAAAATTGTCTGTTTGAAGAAAGTCAAATAAAAATACTGTAAAAACTACTCGTATTTTTAAATTTTATTCTCTTAAATCAGTTTAACGCCGAACGGACGCACCACGCAAGCACGCAAGCACGCAAGCACGCAAGTCTTTTAATATTATATAGATAGATAGTTAACTTTCTATTGTGACATTTTTAAATCATTTTTTTTCTTGGCATGATTTTAAATTTTTTCTGTTATCTCTGTTCAACTTGTTTGCATCTTTCAAAGTTTTGACCGTATTTTTAATAACTTTACAATTTTTCTCTTTTAAAGTAATATATATCTTAGGTAATCTTTATCTGAAAAGAAAAAACATATCGATGATTATAATGGTGCATATTTATTTACAATATGATCAACAATCTTCGAGGTTCATATCTACCAAATAAGTCCCAGTAAATATTTCTAATAAAAAATAAAGTATAAACTGAATTTAAAATCGTATATTTACCATTTAAAAATATAGATACTGAATATCTAACGTTTGGCTATTACCAGGTTTATTATGAAAACTTTTGGCTTGTATACTGTAAACTTTGACTAATAGTGTAAATATTTAAAATTTTGATACTTTAATTTTTAGAAGTTTCGATTTATTAGATTAATAATTTTGTAGTGTAAAGAGGAAAAGTATATATTTTATGCAAAAGTAGTTATTTCTCGGCATAATTTGTTTCCTTATCAATACAATAGTGAATATTAATTACAAACATCAATTATTATACAGTTAAAATTTCATTTAAAAATTTAGTTATTAACTACGTGTCAGGTTATAGACATATAAAGCTACCATAGTATATATGAATAAAATGTAGCCATTATCATATGATTTTGTATTTGAATATATTCAAATTGATATGCTGCATATCCTTTATAGATTGGACGTTTTACACTTGATAAATCGATGAATTTTGCAAAAGATAGAATATTTTCTGTTTTGATATACTGACTATAAAGTACAGTTGGGAATGTTAGTCGATGTGAATTTGTTATTCACAGGAAATGTCTTTGTTCTTCAAATAATCAGACAATAATTTGTATTAATTTGACGGAAAATCAAAATGATTTAATATCAATAGACATGGTGCCGAGACAGATAAACGAGTATAACGGTATAAATTTTTTCTGAAGACACGGGCCAATAAGAAACGTTTAATTGCAACATAAGTACGGACACAAATATCTCTAAGAAGATTTCTACTCATGAGAAAATATCGTCGTGCACGTCTACACTGATGTTTCGAAAAGGTCACATGGGGGACTGAATGTCATTTTGTCGTATTTATTTATGAGAGCAGATTCTGCATTCGTGCAAGTGAAAGTCGTTTGAGTGTGAGGTGTTGACGTGGAAAACAACACCTTCCAGTAACATACATTTCCAACACCTGCAACCAAGGCCCGGGGTTCTTATAAGTTATAACATCTGGTCGCCTTTGGTGTTTTGGAGGGCATATTGAAAAACGCCATGTATGTCCAGTACATTGTTCAACTCGTTGTGACGTCCTTTCTCCAGTAGGTAGACAATGTGCTTTTCCAGTAGGATAATGCCCGTGCATGATACGTGTTCTACAAAACACGTTCTGCAAGGTTTTCGGCAAATTCCTTGGCTGGCACAAGTGTCAGATTTATCTCTTATTGAACATGTATGGGACGATAACTGACTCATTCAGTTACCTTACTTAAAAATTCACGCCGCGTTTTACTAAGAATTACAAGAAATGTGGGATAATGTAAAGCACGATGATATTCGCAATGCTTTAAGATTTTATGCATACAAGAGTACAGCCCTTTATTAATACCCTGAGGATATATAGTGTAACAATATGGGGTCTAATTACTGTTGATACACACGCTTTATTTTGTGCATATATTGAAATGAAAATTACTGCAATCCAGCTAAATTATCTGTATGTTTAATATTCAGTAAATTGAAATACATATTATATACAAGTATAATCTATAGATATTAACAAAGTCCTGGAAGTAATCACGTAAAAAGTCTGACAACACTAGGCGAGGTACCTGGACTTACTGAGAGATATATGCAATTTCTTTAGACCTTCATTGATTCCAACTAGAAGAACAAATATATATTTTCATCAGAACTATTCTAATCGCAAATCATACTGTAGAGATTCTGTTTCTGGTTTTGGGATACTCCTTTCATGCGAAATTCGAGCTCAATTCTCCCACGAATTCTGAGATTAAAAAGCCCTAGGTCCACTTTATAGTAATTTCGTATTTATTCGACCCCCACAAAGACGTGTTGGGAAACAAAGTCAGTTTAATGTGGGGAGCCCGAGCGCGTACACCCCTGGATAGGAACAAAAATTGCCCGAAGCCCCCGCAAACGTCGGTTGCGTTGGATCGGCGCGAACACTGATTCCACTCCCTAGTGCAATGAGAGGGCGAGACCTCGGGCAGCTGTTCCTCAGGATTGGGCACATCTCAGTATAATTTTTCTCAGTTGCAATCCTTTGATGGAGCTATCCATGAGTGCACTCTGCTCAATGTCAGAGACGCAACTGAGAGATGATAAATAATGTGTTAAAAACTACTCGAGAGAGCAGTTTGTATTTACTTGACCCCACACAGAGTCAGGCTGTGACACAAGGTCAGTTTTTAACGTCGGGACACGAGTGTCTTCACTCGAGTCGCAGGTCTTAGCTGGTTATAGGTGTGATACTATCAGTGCGGGGACGGATCCCTGTGACCGGCAAGTATCCGAATGTGTAAATTTTACTTGGCCTTCAACAAGTTGGCGTCTATTGATAAAACTTTCCTTAAATTTATGAATGAAATGTTCATTTAAAATTTTTGAGATTTCAAGTAGTGAATATATCTTACTTTGCGAAACGATATGGAGCGGGCGAAGTCTGCTAATATTAAATATAGAAAAACCGGTTAAAACTAGTAAAATATAAAATAGTGGACATAACTTACATTAAATCAGTTAACTGTGACCATAAACTAAACACGACTAGAAATTATATTAAACTGAATAAATTCCCTTCAATTGAATCTTTTGGTGCCATTCGGTAATACTGTTAGATCTTATTAATCAATGTTTAAAAATTAAGCAACTAATGTTAATAACATTACCAGAATATATTTCCTTTTTTATGATATATACACCGTATCAATTTCAGTATATTTTATCTGCTTCCGTCAGAAGTATTTGGTTCTGTGAGGGATGTTCATATTATAATAAAATATTTACAATAATAATATACAGGGTGTTGCGGCAAAATCCGACATTTGAAAAAAAGAAAACGAAATCGGCAATAAAAACAAAATTTGTATATTCAGATACCCGACAGTTTGTCAACTAACTAACGTTTTCCTCTCTACCCTTTTCCAGGATGGAATATGAGCGCAGAGCAGCGGTAGTAGCTTCTTTTTGCGTTGGAAAGAAGCCTGCGAAAGTGATGGACTGGTTTGGGTTCAAGAGGACCATGGTCATTGACGTTTAGAGGAAGTGGAAGGCGTGCGAGAACAAGGACGAAAAGCCCACAACGTTCGTTCTTCGGCCATTAGGACCGACGAGTTCGTGGCCGCCGTCAAGGAGACAGTCGACAATGATGGAAGCCAGAGCTACGTCAAGATCGCCGCTGACATGGGCTGTCACAAGTCGACAATCTGCCGAACGATCAAGGACATTGGTTACTCCTCCTACCGCAAGTCTCACTGAATGCTCATCACGAATGTCTCCAAGGACTCGAGAAAGGTCAAGGCGGCGGCTTTCATGAATGAGCTCAAGCACGGATCAGCCGGGATGCTGAGGTTCTTCTCTGATGAAAATAATTTCATCCAGGACCAGACGAGCAACGGGCAGAACGATAGGTGGATCTGATAAGACGTCGAGAAGGTTCTCGTCGTGAAGCATACGAAGTTTCCATCCTCCGTCATGGTCCTTTGCGTCATCTCCAGAGACAGGGGGGGGGGCGTCATACCTCCTTTCTTCTTTCAAAAGGGCCTGAGAGTCACCGTTGAGATCTAGCAGGAGGTGCTGAGGAGCGTGGTGAAGCTCTGGATGGACGAGATCGCCGCCGGACCCGCCCCCTACGTTTTCCATCAGGACTCCGCTCCTGCACACAAGTCCAAGACGACCCAGGCGTGGCTGCTCAAAAATATTCCTCATCACTGGTTACCGGACTTGTGGCCGCCCCCCTCATCCGACTGCAACCCCTTTGACTATTTATTCTGAGGCGTGATCAAGCCCAAGACCAACAAACACGCCCACACCACGGTCGACTCTCTGAAGGCTGCTATCGTGGAGGCGTTTGCCGCTATGGACAAGGACATGGTCGTCAAAATGTGTGGCTCATTTCACGCCCGGCGGCGGCGGTTACATTGAAAAATAATGTAGTATGTACCTCTACCTGTTGCTAAATAAACTGTTTCAGCAACATAACGAATGCCATGAGTCGGAAAGAAGATATAAAATCAAATGAGAAACAATCTGTTGTAAAGTTAGTGAGTGATGTTAATACAACAGTGGAAAATAAGACAATGTTCTATATAGAATAGTCATAATAGAATAATCATGAACACACTGTCAATAGAAGAACAAGAAAAAGCTGACCCTAAAAATATCACAGGGTGGAGAAACATTGAAATGGTATTAAGCATGGAAATTGAATAAATCAGTTAGAAAATATATTTAAAAAATGTGTTTCTTGCAGATGTAAACAGAGAGAAAAGACGTAGAATCTCAAGAACATTAGCTAAAGATAGGAAAGCAACCAAAGTGCAATCATTAATTAAATATAAAAAAATATGTATGTGTAATTTCAGCGAAGTAATACGTGGTAACTGATTTTTCAACAGTAATTTTAGTGATAAATATAGAGTTATGATGGATGAATTTAGTGGTTGGGATAGAAATTAGGTTCTTTAAATAAATACTCAATCAGCACGTAAACAAAGTAAATTCTAAAGAAGTAATAGATTAATATAAAAGAAAGAATTGCCTACTTAAATATGGGTATCCGCTACAAAACGTTTATAGTTTATATATATATATATATATATATATATATATATATATATATATATATATGGGCAATCAAACAAAAAGATGGAAAAAACACCTCAGTGATTCGTTTCGTCTCTGGGAACTTCTTCAGACTAGTAATGATTCTGTTGAGTGTGATTTCCTCACAAAATTACTGCTTCAGTCGTATAGTAAAAAATAATAATAAAAATGATATAATGCTAAGATTGGATATGTTAAACATCTAGATATATTCGTCGTCAAAATTTATGATTAATATATATATATATATATATATATATATATATATGTGTGTGTGTGTGTGTGTGTGTATAAACAATTCTATTTACAAAAAAATATTTGCAAAAGAGGTCCCATATGATTGCAAAGGTATATAGACATTTTTATTTTTGGGATACTTGCATGTGGTTATATACAAGAGCTTCTGAAATGTTTTCCATGCGACCTATTTCTCAAAATTTGACCAAATAAAAAACATCATATTTTTAATCCTTTTTAAGTCGAGCCGAGAACATTTTATCACACGCTCGCTCACACACACACACACACATATATATATATATATAAATGTACAGACTCACATCATGCGCATCAGGATATATTCATTCACATACATATATTTATCCATTTACACCCTCCACACGCAAATATTCGCTGGTTTGTGGCCTACCCCGAACTTTGGTAAAAAAGAAGGGCGACGCCATAATATGTACCCAAGTGACACTCTGCAGTTCACATCAACCGCCACCAGGTGGTGTCGTTGATTTATTGGCATTTGCGTAATAGAGAAATTCTTTGGGATATCAACGAGAATTCAAGTCAAAGGGGGAGAAGAGGAAACTATAAGGAGTGGAAAAGGTAGACCAAACAGGAATGATATCTTGTACGTAGTCAGCACTGAACTCGGGACTAATGGTTATGGAGAAAGTAGCTAAATGCCCATACGTATTTATTTAAAGCAGACACGTGTTCTGACAAGATTCACCCTGGGAAAGTTTGCAGATTTTTTGATTATCATGTTTTTATACGCATTTGATTCTGGGACCAGACAGCAGTTATTTATAACGCTAAAACCTCCACTCTCCACCAGTCCGTCGTATAAATTTTGTACTTGTGCTTGCGAGATAATATTCAGTTAGCACTCCAGTGCTGGAAATGCTATAAGAAAACTTGCAACAATTACTTAAATATTTTGAATATTTCAATGCATAATAGAAGATTTTCCTGACACTTTTTATAAATCCTGTTAACTATATATATATATATATATATATATATATATATATATATATATATATATATATGTATATATACACACACATATATATATATACAATTATTGTCGTCAATATTATTCGTACCACTGAATATTTGCACATTTTCTAAGGAAATGCAAATATTTGCAAGTACTTACTGAATTTACCATGAATAGTTGATTCCGTATTTAGTTTTGAATAATTCGTGAAATTTTTAGGAGTTTCAATCTTTATAGTTATACATTTTTGTAAAAATTGGTTCAATACAAAATTATTCGCCCCTCTGATAGAAATTATGAAATAATATTGCTATTTGGCAATTACAATTCTTAATTTGATGTTTAATACACACACCCTTTGAAAATGAAATAGTATTGACCTGATTTTATAAACTTCTAAAAGTTAATAAAGAAGGCAATATGTAAATGCAACGTAACTCTGCAACCATGCCGAAGACAAGAAGTGTTGAATGAAGATAGTCGATGCGTGTAATGGAAAGGAAAATTGTTAGAGATGTCTCGAAGAATTTTCATTTAACAACAAAGGACATTGTCAATAACTTAAAGATATCAGGGATGAATGTATCGATGAAGACATTCACTAGATGCTTTCCTGGAGTAAGACTTCGAGCTTGTCGCTCAAGGAAAACTCCCTTGCTTAAGGCAAAATACCTAAAATGCAGATTAGCTTAACTAGAAGCCATCTAGAACACGGGAGTAAATATTGAAACTCTGTTTTATAGTCAAATGATAACCAAACTAGAATTATTTGGTCATATGAACTCTCGTTATGTATGGAGAAAAGTGAACGAAGCTCACAAACCAAAACATATCCTTCCTAAGATTAAGCACAGTGGTGGGAGCATTCAGCTCTGGAGATGTTTGGCTGCTTCTGGGCGTGGAAAACTAGTGAGAATACAAGGTACCATGGATAAAGAGCAGTATTTGGCTATTCTTAAAAATAATATAAAACAAAGTGCACAAAAGTTGTCTTAGGGGTGTCACTGAACGTTCCAATAATGAAAATGATCCGAAAAACACGGTACGAATTGTTACAAAATACTTGTATGACAGCAAAATTATGGTATTGGCATACCTCTCACAAACTCCACTGAAAATGAATAGGCATATTTGAAGAAAAAAGTAAGAAAAAAAGCCCTTCGAATTAGGAGGTACTAGAAGCTATTGCCAAGGAAGAATGGAGTAAAATACCTATTAGTATGTGTAATGATCTTGTAAGGAACTATAAAAAACGATTAAAGGCAATAATCAAGAATAAAGGTTACACAATTGATTATTAAGGAAAGAGAGTCAATAATTTTGTTCTATGTTAAATGTTATTTTTGGTGTTCTTTTCTATTATTGTTCGGCATTAAAATAAAGTTTTTTCTAGTGGCAATCATTGCTAATTCTTTCAAATCCATTATTTCATCTTTTGTGAAAAAATGCAAATGAAGTTTCCATGAAAATGCATACGAAGTTTCCATGAAAATTTGAGGTATTAAAGCTTTATTTGTAAGAATTCTGTCCACAACTGTATATATTCAATACATTTGAAATAAGACTGCAAGATTTAGGGTGAATAATTTCGCATTTGACATCAAGACTAATCTTACGACACGTCGAAAAACAACAGTTTTTTTTATCTTATAGCTATTCTATATGCATGGATGGCAAATTTCGTATCAATTAACTTAATAAGAAAGGAAAAAGTAAGATACTTTAAATAGTAATCATGTAACTTAACGAAATAATTTTCCTGTTATAAATAAGTTCTATTTTTCCTATCGACAAGTGAATAGATAGTTTATCTTCTATGTTGCCACCTATAATAAACACATTTATATACAAGAGGATTCATTTATTTTGCAAAATATTTACAAAAAGAGTTTAATAAATACTATAAAATTTTTGAAGCATTCTCGGTATAAACATTTTTTACGTAATAAATCTTTATTAGAAATGTTCACTGAGAAGAGCTGTCAAAATTGGCGCAAAATAGTGTTACATTACTGTTGGTTTGTATAGTATTGTATGTAAATGAGGTACTGCTATAAAAGTAGTACGCGACAGCGAATACCAGTCGAGCTACCACCTGTTGACCTGATAACGTCTATTCCAGAGAGTACTCTATTTCATAACAACATGGAGTCGCCGATAGGATTCCTAACCGCGTTGGATGAACCAGAGCACGTAAAAACGTGGATTAGATGTTTCGCAGCGTTGGCTAGGATAAAGAAACTGAAAGACAACAAAGTCTCCGGAAGGGAAAATAAAATTACTCATTTATTTTTGGCTTCGACAGGATGTGAAGCCCTAAAGAAAATATACATAATGGAGTACCCCCCAAATACTGGAAAACTTAAAATATGAGGAAATTTCAACCATTAGCTGGTTAATAAAAGTTAGTTATTGCAGA